GGCCACACCTTGGGCCACGCGCGTGGCACATTTCGCTGCTTTCTTTCCAGAACCTGTCGATGCTGAGGCCAGCCCTGCTGGCGGTCTCGCCCTGGACGACATCCTGGAGGTGTCCTCGGAGGCTTCGACCTCGATTTCCTGGCAGGAGTCCGCTGGTTTGGAGGAGGAGGAAGCTCTGGTTCGTGAAGAGGAGGAAGCAACAATCGGCCCCATTTTGGGAGCCGCGGCTGCTGGCAGGCCTCCGTCACGACTTCGGTAGGAGTAGCAGATTGGCGTTGAGGCATGCGTGTGTGCAGAGCTGCTTCCGAACCTGGTGGACCTGTGCGAGAGCCGGCCTATGGGAGCGTCTCTGGGCAGTCATCGTCCGGCGTGTCCATCTCAATGCCAGGCGGGTGCTCGCCAAAGTAGGCTTGGACCACGTCCATGAGGATATGCTGGGTGTCCTGCATGCCCAAGGCCCCCATGTAGTCCTGTTGGCTCCAAAGCTACTCCACAGGCACCAGGGGATCGAATGTGGGGGAGCCATGTAGTGCATGAGAACACCAATGCCAGCACTGTCAGAACGTACCAAGGAGCTCGTCCCATGCGAAGGCGGCCACGCGATACAATAAACAGCTCGAGCCGGGGTGCTTAGAGAGAGAGAGAGAGAGAGAGAGAGAGAGAGAGAGAGAGAGAGAGAGAGAGAGAGAGAAATATAGACAATCAATTTTCCACTCATTTTCTGATTGTAAGTCCAGATTCCTGGATAGACCCAGGTCCAAAGAGCGTGAATAAATGCAAAAAGCAGCTTCTAACAACACAAAAATGTTACACACACTCCGGTGTTTCGCTCGCTTCGTTCGCCAGCTGGATTGGCAGGGATGTCGATGGGTTTTCAAGTTAGCGCACACATTTTCTTTGCATCAAGCTTGCAGGCAGTCTGACTGCCTCATGCAGAGCATACCTTCTCGGCCTTTTGGCTATGATCAAGTGTAGTATCTGTTCTTATCAGTGTGACAACTGATATCAACTGGAGACTTGCTTGTCACATAAATTTTTGCTGGGGAAGTGTCTTCATGAGCTCGCTCAGAAGCCTTCGCCTGTTGCACGGGCATGGCACCAAGCCAGTGGCAGCACACCCTACTGGGGTAACTATGCATGTTCAGAGTCTGACTCATCTGCTGCCTGAACTTGAAGATTTCCACCTAGCAAAACGCTAAACTGCACCGAGTGTTACTTCACAGCTATGCCAGCAGCTATGCTCTGTTACTTCACAGCTATGCTCTTCTGGACACAGGGTTTTGGGATGCATCATGGTCGTGGTCAGTCCAGCTGAAACGTGAAATGTGTCACAAAGACCGATGTTTTGTGACACACAGTCACACACTGACATTGAGCACTTCTGTTGGGCCGAAGCCCACATAAAAATTGCAAGAATGACCTTGACGATCAAACTTGATGGGAATTGGAGTAGTTTTCAACTAGCAAACAGGGCACCTCGGCTAAGCGTCACTGATAGCACTATTGCCCCTTCCGCAAGGGTACTTAAGATCAGACCCTCGATGTGTTTGCTCGACATCCAAAACTCACTATTGGCAACCATCCTCAGCCAGAAAGAAGTTGCTGGTCCTGACAGCAGTGGTCTTCAATTCTTTGGGGCAGGCTTGTGCCACGACGCCCATCTCCCCGCCTTGACTTGAGCAGAGTTAGGTTCAAGATTGACCCGACTGCCCCTCCTGCCGTCAGGAAGGGGTGGCAGGTTGAGGTTGCTTGGCAGCCGACGGACTTTACTTCCCGCAGGTGCAGGGCTGTTTCCCGGGGAGTCGGAGTCAATCGCCTTCTCTTGGAAAGCGTTGCCAGTTCTTACTGGACCTAGACGCAGGCCTTGCGGAGCCTGCTCAATGCCAGCTGTGGAAGAGAAGAGTGAAGAATTGTTCTAAATTCCACCCCCTCAATTTCTTGTCCTTCGAAGGCTTGTAGAAGAGAAGAGAAGAGAATTATTCTAAATTCACCCCTCGGTCTCTTGTTGTCCTTCGAAGCCTGTAGAAGAGAAGAGTGGAGAATTGTTCCAAATTCCACCCCCTCAATTTCTTGTCCTTCGAAGGCCTGTAATTTTTTTTTGAGAGAGAAGGGACTTCTTTTAAATTCCACCCCCCCCGAATCTTGTTTTGTTTTTTGGGATCTCATTTTTTTGGATCCCATTCTTCGAAACTCAGAGAAGTGAGACTCTGGAGATGCCCCCGTCTCTCACCTTCCAAGCCTTCGAAGCCTCCTTCGTCCTCACCTTCGAAGCCTTCGAAGTCCCCTTCGTCCTGACGCTTCGAAGCCTTCGAAGCCCTTTGTTCTCACTTTGAAGCCTTTGAAGCCCCTTCGTCCTCACCTTCGAAGCTCTCCGCCCCCTTCGTCCTCGCGCCTTCGAAGCCTTCGAAGCCTCCTTCGTCCTCACCTGCGAAGCCCCTTTGTCCTCACCCTTCGAAGCCTTCGAAGCGTTCGTCCTCCCTTCAAAGCCTTCGAAGCCTTTAGACCTTCACCCCCCTCCCTCGCCCCCCCCCCCCTTCGACCTTTCGGCTTCGAAGGCTTCGAAGGCTTCGAAGCCCCCTTCGCCGAAGGGTAACGGGATCAGCCCCTCTCAAGTGGGAGAATGCGCACACGGCTGGGTGAGACGTTGCCCGTAATGCATTCTCTGACAAAAAATGCAGACAGTAGCGTGCTTTGAGCTCATTTTGGCCTTGTGCTGTTAGAATACTTTTCTGAGCGATCTGTGCTTTGCGCGTGTTTGTTACAAAGTTTTTGTATTGCATGACACGGCAGCAGCAGGCTCCAGCAAACCCCTGCAGTAGTTGCGTCTGCACCGCAACACCTTTTCTTCCGTTGTGATTGCATTGGAGTCGCTCTTGTGTTTTCATTTTATGCGTTGCTGTTTTGCTTGGATCTGTATTCCGGCAGTGAACAAAAAAGTGCATAGCGTGCTTCAAGTTCATTTTGGCTCCATGCTGCTACAATGCTTTTTACAGGGTTGTCTACTGGCTCCGGCCATTCGCAAATGTGCAGCCAGAAACAGAGCGGTGACAGAGGCCAGTGAAGGCCTATGACTTTTTGATGAAACCAAGGTCCGTCCGTGTCTTAGCTTTGGGAAGGCCAAGTTTGTGGCATCGGGTGCTGCCACTGCCAAGGCCTTGCATAACATCCCTCGGAAGGGTACCTGGAGGTTCCTGATCTTGTCGAAGATTTAGGCATCGATAACAGTGGAGCGCGGCGCCGACGACTGGCGTCCATAGTCAAAGGCAGGCGGGTGCGAGACAACCCGCATGATATCTTCACGTCTCTATGATGACCAAAGTTCGTGTGGGTAGAGCTTCCATCCTGAAGGCCGGACTTTGGGGCCATCAGAGTGCCACCAGGTTAAAGATCCTGAAGCCTTCACACACTTCGCCTCTGGCCAGTCTTCAAAATTGGGGGGGGCCATAAGAAAGGTTCAACGAAAAAGTTCCCACAGCATTCTCATTGAAAAAAGTGTGCTGCGCGTGTGCAAATTTACACTTCCGAAGGACAACAAGAGACTGAGGGGTGGATTTAAAATAATTCTCTTCTCTTCTCTTCAACAGACCTTCGAAGGACAAGAAATTGAGGGGTGGAATTTAGAATAATTCTTCACTCTTCTCTTCCACAGGCTTCGAAGGACAACAAGATACTGAGGTGAGGGTTTAGAATTCTCTCCTCTCTCTTCGATTCTTCTCTCTTTAGTTTGACTACAGGCTAGGCGTGCATGAGGTGTGTTTGCCTGCCTTGTAATTCTCCGGAACTTGAAAAAGCTGCCTGCACGCCGGGCCATGTGTTGACGATATGCGCGACGGTTTCGCACCAAAACTCGCTTGGCACCCCTGGAGAGATTTCAGGTTCTTTATTCAATTGGCGTTTGAATGTCTAAAAGCCAACAGTGCTTGGGGAGATCTGCGCCATCAAAGAAGAAACATGCTGCATGCAGAATGTGTTTTGCCCGGGGAGGAAGCAAGTGCACAGTATTTGGCCAAGGGCACGTTTTGCGAAGCATCATTCATACTTTTCCAACATTCATGGACAGATTGAAGCGAACGAGAGGAATAAGGAGGTTTGGTTTGATTAAAAGCTGAATAGAAGTTGCATGTGTTGACAAGCATATTGCTCAGAGCTTGTTGGACCATGTTCAGGCAATGCTGACATGTTGCTACAAAACATGTGTGTGGGGGTTGTTGTAGCAAGGAAAGACGACGTGTTTTCGATGGCTGCCACATGTGGCAAGTGACATGTTGGATTGCCGTGTTGCAAGTCCACTTAGTTCCTGTATTGGTTCCGTTGTCTGTGTGCCATGGCGATGTGGGGCCATGCAGCCGCAATTGGCAAGGGTGCTTGTGATGACGCTAAGGGAAAAGTTGAGGCTTGGCTTTTTGGTGCCATGATTGCAGTCAGGTCGAGGAGGCAGGGGAGGTCCTGACGGAGAGGACGCGCTGCACGTCAATGCGAGGGGAAGTAAGAGCTTCAGAATCACACGTGGTTGAAACCAGAGGACGCATGGTCCACCGGTGGTGCAGATACCGGTTTGGATGACCTGGTTGGGTTCGGAGACTTGAGAGCACCCTCAGGCGGGGCATGATCTGTTTCTCTCAGTGACGTTTGAACTCACGTCGGTTCAGGAGGACGCGGCCCTGATCCTCTCGTGAGTTGCTGAGACTGTGGGTTGGGCTGTGGGTCAACTGTGACGTTGCTGTGAATGCGACACTTGCGTGGAATTGGGGATGTTCTCTCATGATGAACTGTTCTGAGGGTTGGGGGGTCAGCGACTTGGCAGCTGGCCCTGGTTTCGGGGCGCCAGCGTTCCACAGAGGAAGCGGTGCTGGTCTGGGATTTGGAGGTGCGTGGGTGTGTGTTCATTGGCGAGAGACGAATGAGTGCAGGAGCGCTTACGACGATGTTTGTCGCTTGATGCACTTGTTCTTGCAAGGCGTCAATTTTCTGGATGCGGAGAGCGAGGACGTTTCTTACTAATGAAGGTAGAATCACAGCGAGCCACGGACGGGTTTCTGTAGCTGTATTGATTGATGCGAACATGCGTCGCGTCCACCACCCAGGACGAAGACTGGTGGGGCGGATGGGAAGCCGAAGATGAAGGCCTGCCCGCTCTTCTGCAGCGAGTGTGACGCGTGCACGATTCATGGATGGTGTTTTTGCTCGTGGTCAATTTTTTTCAGCATTTGGGCCCACGAAAAGAGCAACTCAATCCACACCCCTGGATGCAAAACCCTAGGTTTTTCAGCCAAGCAGTGTGTAACGTAGCTGTGGTGAGGCGAGCTTGGTGAGTGGAAGTGGGCCATGGTCGTCGTCAAGGAGGCATCCATGCTGTTAGGGCAGTCGCAATTGAGATGATCCTGGTACTAGTAGCTGTTCCCTGGTATTAGTCCCTGTTCCCTGGTATGAGCTGTTCCCCAGAAATATGAGCTGTGTCTTGGTATGAACAACAGATGATAACAGATGTAGCAAAAGTTAGAGTGGCAGCGCAGTTCATGCCAGATGAATTTTCAGTCATGGTGATAGCAAGGACAGTTTGGAAAGGGCAGAGTTCCTCTTGCATCCGAGGGCGAACAAAAGAAGAAGACCGGCATTGTGACGGCTGCTTTGGCCGATTCGAATGTGCTGTGCTTGTGCATGTAACTGTTGCCGCAAATAGGGGCCACCTTAAGCGCCTTGCGTACCGAAGCCCGCAAATAGAAAGAGTTCGAGTCTCGAGGCCATCCATGGCCACTGCCCGCGTCACAAACACCCCTTGGAGAAGATCAAGGAGGATAATGACCCCTTCGAGGACGAGAAGCCAAAGGAGGAGGCGCGCAAAATGTGAATTGAAATCAAGGAACTCAGACGTCTGAGATTTAGATATACGCATAGGGAGCCCGAGTTTGGGACACGTACAACCCTGCAAAAGCCCGGTTCCAGGACAAGAAGCAGAAGAAGAAGAAAGGTGCATCGGAAAATGGTGTTGTTTTTCAGGTAATGCTCTCCGAACCCACCTCAAGGTTTGGGGGTGTCCTTCAGCATTCGGTGGTGTTTGGAGTATATGAAGAGGTACCCCTCGATATTTGGAAATATTCATCGTCATCTGATTCTCGACGCTACATCCCAGAGCACCCGTGCCGTCCAAGTTGTTTTCAACCCCTGGTGGCCGTGTGGACATTCTTAAAAAATCCCTCAAACCGCTCTCAAGAGGCTCAAGCCGCTGAAAAGCACCTCAAACGACCTCAAACACCTAAGCCCTGCAGGCCCTCCAAAGCCTTGAAGGCCCTTGGGCGAAAGGGCCTTTGGCCCCCCCCCCGCCGACAGTGATGCCGGAGGCCCTCGGCTCGAGTGTGAGATGTGCAAGGCCGGTACATATGGGATTTTGGACGCGAAACCGTGAACCCCCGCAAAACCCCCCCAAACCCCTTTAAGCCCACGCAGGCTGCCAAGAAGAAGGACAAAGACGGCAAAGCAGGGGAGGACGACGGAAAGCCCAAGCCCGTGGCTTTCGGCTGTGAGGCACCGGGTCCCCCCGAGAACCTCACGCTTCCTTGTGCTTTGATTGGGATTCCGGATGCAAGGGGGTGCCTATTTTTGGGGGGTTCTGGTGGTGATATTGGGGATATTCGAGTGCGGCCTGTTTTGGGGGAAGATGCCCACAGATGCTTTGGAATTTATACGCAGCCCGGAGGGAGCTTCACGGAGGTTTAGACACAAAATGGAGTGAAGCTGGCCCTGAACCCTCAACCCTAAAGCCTAAACCCTAAACCCTAAATTCAAACCTAAACCCTATATAAACCCTAAACCCTGTTTTGTCAGGACTGCAACTGGTACGTCTGCGCAGACTGCCATGGCAAGAAGGGTGAGAAGCAGTGGCAGTGCATGCTGCAGGCCCACGACATAGGAGCATGGAAACCCTCAACCCTCAACCTTAAACCCTAAACCCCAAACCCTAACCCCAAACCCCAAACCCCAAACCCTAAACCCTGCTTCTTCTTATGGAAGCTGTACCCATTCCACTACCAAGCGTTTCCTTGTAGGTGGACTTGAGGGAGGGCATGGAGGTGCACCGTGAATGGTTCAACGCCCCTTGGATGGGAAGTTAGGGTTCAGAGTTTAGGAGGATAACAAAGTTCGAAGCAGAAGCCCCTGCAGAGCCAACATGTCACAACCTCGCAACCATGTGGTGCAGGGTTATTTTGCTGGGCTCGTTTTCCTGCATTCCCCGTTGCATGCCCAGCACAACCCTAAGCCCTAAGCCCTAAGCCCTAAGCCCTAAGCCCTAAGCCCTAAGCCCTAAGCCCCAAGCCCCAAGCCCTAAGCCCTAAGCCCTAAGCCCTAAACCCCAAACCCTAAGCACCCAAAGCAAAGGTGGACCACCTCCGGCTTTTTGCCGAAGCCGAAGATGACATGGACCTGGTGCCTTGGCACTGGCATAAAGGGGCCTCTTCGACCCCAGCCTTTTAAGGCGGCCGCAGCTGAGTTTGCCCGTTTAGGGTTAGGGTTTAGGGTTTAGGCTTCGGCAACATGTGCCGTAAGGAAGATGACGACGAGAAGGAGGACGTGAACCTGGCCAAGAAGCCGCTTTGATGGCATGGTGTTCCCGTCTTTTCAAGCTCGCGCCGGGTCTGACAAACTGCCCAGGTTCTACCCTGACCTGGTTGAGGGGCAGCAAATCAAGGTCGCCTGGCAGATTGTAGGGATGGTTGCAAAGGTTGCCAGAAGGCGCTTCGAGGGGCCAACAAAGCTTACTCAGGCGGAGCTTTTTTGCCGTCTGAGGCCTCCTTGAGCTCCGCGGGGCGCTGGGGCTTCACCACGCGCTTCATGTATGCGGCGGTGGTGTCCCGGGTCCAGGAGCCCGCAGGGGGGGGGAACCACTTTGTGTGGTGACATGTGGGAATCTTGGGGAGGATCCCAGGGTCCAGTTTCGTCACAGAGACTGCAGGAGGATGGCAACTACGACATCAAGTTCCACGACCAGCTGCTTGGGGAGAAGAAAGGCATGCCCATCGAGGCCAGTCGCTCGAGCGACCGCGCGCTGGGTATGGGGGAGAGACGAGAGGGAAGCTTCACAATGCGACGCAATAGCACGTGGCTCAGGGCGGACTTCTCGCCCCCGGCAGGAGTTGGAGAGCCTGCTGACCTTCGAAGCCTCGGGTTTGGGCCTGGATCCATCGAGGCAACAAACCTTGCTAAAACCCTGCGAGCCAAACGCAGGAAACTACGGAGGGACGGAAAAGTGTCTTCGCGTGAACTCACAGGAACTTGTTCGACTTCCGGTTCAACAGTTTGCCCCGTGGAGTGCTCGCCAACGGTAACGGCGTGGAGCTGAAGCCTGTGGCCGCCCAAGCTCTGAAGGTCGCTGAAGATCTCTTTTGAAGATCTTGAGTCAAACCCACGTCCCCAGTGTGCTCTTGGTGCAACCCATCTAGGCTGGAGACTCTGGCGGCTCCATCCTCCTCCTCAAGCCGACATCGTGCCCCCCTGACACAGCGTGAGACATTCGCTCATTAAAAACCCAACCATGGTGAACCGACTCAAAGCCGTCCCTGCAACGCCCCAAAACCCCAAGAAGCATAAACTTCATAAACCAAGGCCATGCAAACCATGAAGGACTGGGACCCTTTCAAAAGCCGTGCCCTCAACCCAACCCTCCAAGCCCACCTTCTACCACAAAGCTCACCCAAGCCCAGCCCCTAAAACTGGCCAAAGCCCCCTGAAGTGCCCCAATATGGTTATAATTGGGCTATGAGTACAGTTAGTATTAGGTTAAGAAGTACCCTAAACCCCAAACCCCAAACCCCGACATGACGCGCCCACAAGCGAGAGGTACTTGGCCATGCCCCTGGAGGGCCTGGCACCCGGAGGAGCTGGATCCGGTGAGGACTGCTGCTGCGCCCTCCCCTCCCCTCCCCTCCCCCAAAAGTTTGGGAGTTTTAAGGGTGGGGGGGTTTAGGGTTTAGGGTTTAGGGTTTATTTGGAGTTTGGGGGACTTAAGGGATGTTCAGACTCCTCCTTACGTGCCAACCCTCCATCAAACCCTGAGCCCTCAACACCACCGAAGGCCTCAAGAAACCTGGGCCCCAACGAGCTCCTCCAAAATGCCCTCGCGCCCCCGAGGATCACACCAAGTACACCCTGACCCTGGAGCTGAAGCTGCCATTGCAGAGGCAACGTCCCCAATCCTTTTCCCTGAACCTTAATCCCCAAACCCCAGACTATTTCGGGGTTCAAAGTTTAGGGTTGTGGGTGGTGGGTTTAGGGTTTGGGGTTTTTTAGGATTTGGGGTACAGGGTTTCGGGTGTAGGGTTTAGGGTTCAGGGTTTGGGGTTGAGGGTGGGCATAGGTGGGAGGAGGAAATGAGAAAAGAAAGCGCGCCCATCAGATCCGGACATTTCTGGGACCCTGTGGCCTCGTATGTAGGGACCGAAGGTGAGCACGAACTGCAAAGGATGGTTAGTTTGAACTCCAAAGCACACAAACTCACAATCTTAAACTTTTCAAAAATATGTGGAGCGAAGGACGCGCGAATCAACACGCCCTCTCACTAAGCAACTGTCTTGTTGTATGTTCCACTTGGCTGGTGGTGATTGTCCGTGGCTGGAAGTTTGGGTTTCGGGGTTTGGGTTTCGGGTTAGGCTTGCAGGTTTCAGTTCTTTATCCTGGGTACGACTTCGGGTATGGGGTCGTGTGCAATGTGTTATGGTTCCGTTTGTCTTAGGTATACGCATATGTGCCCTAAACCCTTAAACCCCTAAACCCTAAACCCCTCAACCCCTAAACCCTAAATCCCTTCATCCCATGCATCACGGTTTATGGGCTCCACTGGGCCTTTTTGGACTCCCTTGAAGTGGCTTCAGGTCGCAGCATCCCGTGGCCCTCTTCCAGGCCTTGGTGCACTTAGGGTTTTCGGGTTTAGGGTATCGGGTATGGGGCTCATGTTGTTTAGCTGATATCCAGCATACAGTCTTAGAAGAGGCTTTTGCATACCAGATATATTGTTCATGTATGCATGTGTGTGTGTGTATATATATATATATTTATACATGTATATGGATTGACATGTATTCGTGTGTATTTGTGTATGTTCGGATACGTTTGTATGTATTTGTGTAAAATTGTTTATACAAGTGTATATGTGTATGTGTGCGTGTGTGCATATAAGTAAATACATATAAGTATAAAATGTGTATGCATGCATGTATGTATGTATGTGTGCATGCATGTATGTCACTGTGTGTATGTGTATGTGTGTATGTGTATGTGTGTATGTGTGTATGTATGTATGTATGTATGTATGTATGTATGTATGTATGTATGTATGTATGTATGTATGTATGTATGTATGTATGTATGTATGTATGTATGTATGTATGTATGTATGTGTATGTATGTATGTATGTATGTATGTATGTGTGTATGTGTGTGTGTAACCAAGAGCTGCCGATCCATGACTGTCTCGGGCTTCTTTGCCTTTGCGCCGGGCGCTGGGCGCGCGGGGTCCAAGAGCCGAACCTTGAGCCTCTAAACCCTTAGGGTTAGGGTTTAGGGTTTAGGGTTTAGGGTTAGGGTTTAGGGTTTAGGGTTTGGGGTTTACCAGTCCTTAATGGGGATTATAATCGGGGGTGTACTATAATGCCTATGAAGGACTGTTAGTATAGTTGGGAACATCGTAACTATAAACCCTGACAACCCCCCAAGCACCGCTTATCAGAGAATCCGATCTCAAGACTCGGAAGCACCCTTCTGCAAGTGTCTTCCAAGCTTGCCCTAAACCCGAAGCCCCAAGCCCCTAAACCTTAAATTTTCCAAAACCCAACTCCCAACATGCACCTTGCCAGGCTTCCTGGCCGGAAGTCTCGGGCCCGGGGCCCTGGTGTGTGGACGTCTGCGACATGGTTTCTCAGGAGGATTTGGGGCTGAGGCTTTGGGGATCTGGCTCTTGAGCGAAGGCTTCGGGCTTAGGTTTGTTGAGGCGGTTTTCATGGTGCTTTTGGGTGTGTGGAGCTGTTTTTAAGTTCCCAGCCAACGCGAAGCCGAGGCGTCCCGCAGCTCTGCGCGGTGGCGGACGAGTACGTGCCCGCCGCGGCCTCAGTCATGGGTCTGGTTCAGGTCCTTTCAGACCTTCTTGGTGGTGTTGCTGCGGGATCTGAGACAGAAGGACCCTTAGAGCCAGGCTTTTTTGTTTTGGGCAAGTTGGGCTTCGGGGCGTCGGGGCTTTCGGGGACAGTGTGGGCTGCCTCAGGTCCACCCGGCCGAGAGGGACTATCTGGAGGAGCGTCCCCCGTCCCCGAGCCTATTAAACGGTCCAATGTAGGGGTGGGAATAATTACTCATAAGATTTCCTTATGGTCCCTCTATAGTGATACTATGTCATGATCAACACGGCCAGAGGTGCTAAGGTTCGGGATTCAGGGTTGAAAATGGAAGCAGGGTTTGGGCTTGGGGAGGAAAATCTGCAAACCCAGACAAAGGGGGCCCTAAACCCTAAACCCCAAACCCTAAACCCTAAACCCTAAACCCTAAACCCTAATGTGTGAGCTGCTGCTTGCTGTGTGTCGGAGGAGCCTCCTCCCCCGGGCACAACCTGGAACTGGCACTTGCAGGCGTCGGCCCCATGCGTCTGTGTTTAGGCCCGAGTAGTCCCAAAAGCCCCAAAAGCCCCCAAAACCCTCCCCAAAACCCCCAAAAGCGAGGCCCCCAAAGCATAAAACCCTTGAGCCCCCGATGGAAAGAAACCCTGAAAATGCTTTACTTGGAGGTTCATGAGTAGTTATAGGTAGGGTGATAAGTACACTAAGTGGGGGTAATCATTACCTTTCCCTACTTATAAACCCTACGTATACCTACCCAATGAACCTCCAAGTATGCCTGGTGGCGGAAGGTGGGGAGCGTGGTGCTCAACAAGTCGACGCTCCGACCGGGAAGGTGCTTCCCCGCCGCGCCCTCCTTCAGGTTTTGAGGTTGTGGGGTCCAGGCTTAGGGGTTTGGGGTTTAGGGTTTAGGGTGTAATAGGGGGTAATTCGGGTTTAGGTTTTAGGGTTTAGGGTCTAGGGTTAAGGGTTCAAGGGTTTGCAAGGTTTAGGGTTCAAGGTTACAGGTTTTAGGCTTTTTTCGGGTTTACGGTTGGAGATGCCCCACATACCACAAGGGCTTCGTTGAGGCCCTTCAGAAGCGCAGTGCTCTGCCCCGAAGCTTTGTTTCCTCTTCCTTTGAAGGAGAGTGAGGGCTTGATACGAGGGCCTGATGAGGGTCGGGGAAGCGCCCCCTCCCTGAGCAAGGTGGCACGACATCACCATGGTCGTGAACTGCAAAGAGGGGCGCGCATCCATCTACGTGGATGGGAAGAATGTTACTTGTCCCGATTCAGCGGGGTCGCTCACAGACTCACAGCCCTCAATCCCTGAATGTGGCCCAAACCCCCTCAAGCCGCAAGCCTTTAATCCCGAAACCCCATGAAGGCTTGCATGCTTGACCCTGATCTACACACTCAAGAAACTCTAAACCCGACATCCTAAACTGCCTAACCCTAAACCCTAAATAACCCTCGTGAAAACCCTAAACCTCAAGCCCTCAACCCTAAGCCTTAAACCCTAAGCCCTCAACACTAAACCTAAACCCTGAGCCCCAAGTCCCTAAACCCTCAACCCTAAACCTGGAGCCCTAAGCCCTCAGCCCAAAACCCTAAACCCTATACACCCTAAGCCCTAAACCTTAAGCCCTCAACCCTAAACCCTACACCCTTAATAAACCCTAAACCCTAAACCCTACACCCTCAAAGCCCTCAAAGCCCTCAAAGCCCTCAGCCCGAAAAGATTCGCGCGGATGGCGGAGAGAACTTCATCGTCATCGGAGAGGGGGCAGGCCAATCCCTCGGTTAGATTCGGTGAGATTCGGTCCCTTTAGGGTTTGGGGTTTGGGGTTTAGGGTTTGGTGTTTAGGGTTTGGGGTTTAGGGTTTGGTGTTTGGGGTTTAGGGTTTGGGGTTTCGGGTTTGGGGGTTTAGGGTTGGGGTTTAGGGTTCAGGGCATGAATGCTGTGCTTTTTACCAGGTTGTGTCCATGTTGGGAGGTTTGAAGGGGGTTGTGGATCCGTGAAGATGATAAGAAGCTCCGAAACCCGAAACCCTGATCTTTAGGGGGGGGGGGGGAGGAAATCAGATCCCGCCCTTACCCCCGCCGTCTACTTCTTTCAACCTCCACATGCATGGGCAGCTCTTCTGCCCCAGGGACACGAAGGTTGGTGCGAAGAATGGATGCCCTCTTGATACTTTTGAAAGGAGGGAAAGGGGAGGGACTTTCCCAGACCACGCCGCCCAGGCTGGGCGGAACCCTAAACCCTAAATCCGAAACCCCGATCCCCCTCTAAACCGAAACCCTAAACGCTAAACGCTAAACCTGAACCCAAACAATCCTATTCCTGATCCCAGAAACCCCAAAACCCTTCCACGCAACTTGGCCAGGAGCCAAGTCACCTCTGGCCATCAAGCGGGGTGGCTTCCTCCTCTTTGCTGCCTCCGAGGTGCTTGGGGGCTGGGCAGTTAACCTTTAACCCGTTTAGGTTATATATATATATGTATATATATATATACATATATATATATACATATGTATATGTACGCCCATTATATATGAAAGGTTAACCTCTCTTTTGGGCTAGGGTGTTCAGCCCCTAAGTGGGTCTGGGGGCCATGCTTCGGGGTGCAGGGTTTTGGGGCCGGGAAGCCACGAACTCAAAGCCCTGAAAAGCCCTTGCAACACCTAATCATCCAAGAAGTCCTAAACCTTAAACACGTGCTGGAGACGCAAAATCCCTGATAGGAGCTGGGTGTGTGTGTGTGTGTGTGTGTGTGTGTGTGTGTGTGTGTGTGTGTGTGTGTGTGTGTGTGTGTGTGTGTGTGTGTGTGTGTGTGTGTGTGTTTGGCTGCCTGAAGGGATTGGATGATGGGTTTAGCTTGCCTTCGCAAGTCTCTATAGCTTTAGAACATGGGTTCTGCAGAAACCCTTTCAGGGTTTAGGCCGTGATGCGTAGGGGTGTGTGTTTGATTCGGTAGGCCACATGCCCAAACTGTAAGCCCGATGACGGAGTGCCGTGCGGGAGGTTGGTCGAATTTGTGGCCTCTTCGTTTTGAGACCTCAAACCACAGGAGATATGCCGCCCGGAACATCCCAACCAATTCCCCCAATTCTACACGGCTGTCTTTTCAATCCCTAAACCTTAACCCTCAACCCTAAACAACCCCTGAACCCCTAAACCCCATTCCCCCAATCATGCACAGCTGTCTGTTTGAGGCTTCCTGGATGCCCGGCGGCTGTTGCCTGCGCCGCTGTGCCTTCATCAGCCCCCCTGGCAGCATCTGGTGCCCAGAGTCAGGCTGGTTCTTCGTAGGGAATGAGGGAATTCGGGCCATATCTTGAAGGGTATATATAGGGCCCGAATCCTCATTCCCTACTAAGAACCCAGGGAGAGTGTATAGAGGCAGCGTCTTGAAAGGCTGATTGTGGGATGAGGGGCTTCTTGCGCAGCTTGCAGTACTTGGTTTGCAGTGTAGGTGCTGTTCTATGAAAAGCTGAGATATTGGGAAAGATGTATGGCAGCAGCTTTTTTATGCCTGCCTTGCTGAGCGCGCAGTCAGAGTCCCTAAGAACAGGTTCGCAGAGTTTGGTTCAAGGTCACGCAGGGCTGAGGCGAAGGCCTGCAGAGGTTCGTCGGACACCCACCAGAAATCACAGGGGCTTCCGGAGCAGGGCACGCAAGACCGGCCCTATAGGAAGCTGCAGGCCTTCATCGTACTTCCGGTTTAGGGTTTAGAGTTTTGGGGGCCCTTTCTTAGGGTGCACCGTGAGAGCTCCTGCGCCTATTGCACCTCAGGCGACTGCTTGTCAGCCAAGCAGTTGGAGCAGGCTGGCAGTTGTTTGCATGGATCCTGAGGGTTGGGGGTTTGAGGGTTTGAGGGTTGGAGGGTTGGAGGGTTGGAGGGTTGGAGGGTGGGAGGGTATAGCTTGTCTTCAAGATTGGGTTGCCATAGCTGGTCTGACTGGGTCTTGTAGAGATGAAGATTTGGGGTTCCAGAGGGGCCACTCGGGCACCTCCCGATGTTTTCGTGCATCCAGGGCTCGGGATGTCAGTTTCAAGGCTTCAGAAGTTGGACACGGGCTAGAAACACCCCCAAACCCTCGCACCCGAAGCTCTAGATCCTGGGGGCTTTGTGTATGTTTGAGCCGATGGCAGGTGCAGTACCAGAACCGCCTGGCCAGTGCTAGGATCCGCGAGTACCTGAAAGAGCAGCTCCCGCAGCAGGACATCGCAGGGGTTTAGAGGGGCCCAAGCCCAAGCCCTAAACCCTAAACCCGAAACCCTGAACCCTAAACCCACAGCCCTAAAACCCTAAATCCCTAAAACCCTAGAACTTAGAACCCTAAAACCCTAAACCCTAAACCCTAAACCCTAAACCCTAAACCCTAAACCCTAAACCCTAAACCCTAAACCCTAAACCCTAAACCCTAAACCCTAAACCCTAAACCCTAAACCCTAAACACTAACCCCTAAACCCTAAACCCTAAACCCTAAACCCTAAACCCTAAACCCTAAACCCTAAACCCTAAACCCTAAACCCTAAACCCTAAACCCTAAACCCTAAACCCTAAACCCTAAACCCTAAACCCTAAACCCTAAACCCTAAACCAACCCACAGCCCTAAAACCCTAAATCCCTAAAAACCCTAGAACTTAGAACCCTAAAACCCTAAACCCTAAACCCTAAAGCCCTGAAACCCTAAAGCCCTGAAACCCTAAACCTTAAACCCTAAACCAACCCACAGCCCTAAAACCCTAAATCCCTAAGAACCCTAGAACGTAGAACCCTAAAACCCTAACCCCTAACCCCTAACCCCTAAACCCTAAACCCTAAACCCTAAACCCTAAACCCTAAACCCTGAAACCCTAAGCCCCCCCCCACGTCCAGGAGCTGGCGCTGACCCCGATCCTGAGGCGCAAGGCCGACTTTGGGGCTGGGGGGGGGGGGGTTTTGGATTTAGGGTTTAGGGTTTAGGGTGTAGGGTTTAGGGGTTTAGGGTTAAGGGTTTAGGGGTTTAGGGGTTTAGGGTTTAGGGTTTCTTGCAGTAGCTGCTGCAGAAGTTTAGGGTTTAGGGTTTAGGGTTTGGGGTTTAGGGTTTAGGGCTCAGGGTTTGGGAGCTTTTGGGGCTTTAGGGTTTTTAAGGGCTTTTTTGGGGGTCTTGGGGCTCGGGGGCTTTGAGTAAGTTTAATCGAGTCAAAAGAAGGACCCCAGTGTACAGGTCGATCTCCTTGGGCGCAGTCATTTGGGGTTTGGCCCCAACCCTGAAGCTTCCTAAGCCCAAAACCCCTGAACACAAAGAAACCCCGCACCCGAAACCCTAAACCCTAAACCCTAAACCCTAAACCCTAAACCCTAAACCCTAATCCCGAAAAGGCGATGCCCTTCTGGCGCTCCGGCTGGTTTTTGTCGGAGCCGCTCGGCTAGAAAGACAACGCCGCGCAGTTCGGACGGGAGCTTAAGCGTTTGGGGGAGTTTAGTTAGGGTTTAGGGTTTAGGGTTTAGGGTTTAGGGTTTGGGGTTTAGGGTTTAGGGTTTAGGGTTTAGGGTTTAGGGAGCTTAAGGCTTGGGGGAGTTTAGGGTCAGGGTTTTAGTGGTTGAGGCTTGAGTGCTTTTAGGGTTTAGGGTTCTAGGGTTTAGGGTTCTAGGGTTTAGGGTTCTAGCGTTTAGGGTTCTAGGGTTTAGGGTTCTAGGGTTTAGGGTTCTAGGGTTTAGGGTTCTAGGGTTTAGGGTTCTAGGGTTTAGGGTTCTAGGGTTTTGTGGAATCGTTTGCGGCGAGGCAATGGAGCCGCTTGACCATCGTAGATGTCCACAGTAAGCCCTAAGCTCTAAGCCTGAATCCTCAACAGGGATTCTGAAAGGCGGTACTATGATCCTTCTTAAGGACTGTTAGTATCAGGAGGGGGAACATCCCAACCCAAACCCTAAACCCTAAACCCTAAACCCTAAACCCTAAACCCTAAACCCTAAACCCTAAACCCTAAACCCTTAACCCTAAACCCTTAACCCTAAACCCTAAACCCTAAACCCTAAACCCTAAACCCTAAACCCTAAACCCTAAAGCTAGGGTTTTCAGGTTGAGGGCGTTTCTTGGGCGAGGTTTTGGCCTCTCAGGGCTCTCAGGCTGAGGGGTGGAGCTTGGAGGGCATGACGTCAGAACATAAGAGTTTAGGGTTTAGGGTTTAGGGTTGAGGGTTGAGGGTTTTGGGTTCTTTGCATGTCGGATTGAGCGTCCTTAGTTCAGGGTTTATGCTTTGGGATGACGACAGCCTTCCGCCAGAGAGAGTTGGGGGGTCGTCAAGCAAGAACTCTTCGAAATGCCCAGGAACATCGGCCCCCAAAATCCCCAAACCCTGGGCCCTGAGACCTAGACCCTAAACCCTAAACCCTGAACCCTAAACCCAGCTTTTGTGGGAGGTTCGGGCAGTCCGTCTTCCCTGTTGACTCGGAGAGCTCTTTTTCCAGCTTTCAGGCCGGGGGGAAGCGCCCAAGAAGCACCCGGACACCCTCTTTGAAAGGTCCTATGATGAGGAATAGAGTTGTGTGCCCTCTATGTTTGAAAATGCCCAACTGTTTTGTTGTTAGTGTATGGACGATGATCATTCATTTATTCACTCATTCATTCATTTATTTCATTTATTTATTTTTTTTATCTATCTAATACTTATTATTATTATTATTATTATTATTATTATTATTATTATTATTATTATTATTATTATTATTATTATTATTATTATTATCGTTATTACTGTTGTTATTATTATTGTGATTAGTATTATTATTCTTGTTATTATTGTTTTTGTTATCCTCATTACTATTATTATATTGCTATTGTTATTGTGAAGTTGGCCTGAATCAGACGCCATGGCGGAGTACCCCGAGGTCGGCATGAGGCTGCATGCTATGTACAAGGGGGATGGTAATTACTCTCCGGCCACCGTTGCCAGCCTAGCACTCGACGCTTGGGTATCCGTCAATCTGCTCAAGTCGAAGGCCTTACCGAAGAAGCCGGAGAAGCCTCCCAAGGCTGCTGTCAAGAAGAAGCTGGCTCCCAAAGCCAAGGCGAACTCTGCAAAGCCGAAGCCGATGGACTGTTCGAGAGCGAAGAAGGGCATGCGTGTCCAGGATGGAAAGTACTGGGCAGCGCCCATCAAGGTGACCTTCATGGGCTACGACAAGCAGTATGATGAGTGGCTTGGAGCCGACCGGCTCCACTCCAAGGCCATTGTCCCGTGCAAGGAGAAGGATGCTAAGGACCTGGGAGCCACGAAGACTGCTGCAAATAGCATCAAGGCCGCTCCAGATAAGACGATAAAGGATCTGGGTGCCAGTCTGTTAGCAACTGCGGCCAGCGCGGTACCAGAGCCTGGGGTTGCCCCAGCCGTCGAAGTGCCTGGTGTCACCATGCAGGAGGAGCTCGTGCGTGTCGGTACAGGGAACTGTCCGCGAAGTGAACGTCCCAGTGCAGGGGCAGCGAGAGGATACCTCGGAGCCAAAGGGTGTCGAGGCGGAGGAATATTTGCCAACTCTCCTGACGCCCGTGATCCGCGAATTCGTGGCAGATGGGAACCAGTCGTTCCTGGAGCTGCCGAGGATGGGCGAAGGGGCTCGCCGCAGTTGGTCGAAGGGTTCCCCTGCATCAAGGCCAAAAGCTGGGGCTTCCCAGGGACCCTGGAGAAGCGGGCCCAATTCGCTCAGTGATCCAGCGGAGGCGGTTCCTTTACCGCCGGATATGGAGTGGCGGCAACAGCTGCCCCCAGTATGGATCTGGCTATGAGAATGGCAGCTTATTGGTGGCGTGCAGCTACAATGGCTACTCCACCAACAACAGCCACGACCATGTGGGATGTTTGGGTTTTGGAGGAGGTGGTTGGTCCATCTTGTGGACAACCTCCGCAATTGGACAGTTTTCGTTAGCTTTGCCGGTCCTACATCCTCGATGATGAGCACCTCAGACAAGAACTGCTAGCTGCGGTGGCCAATCTCGTTAACTCGGCTGGGGCGCTCCAACAAGGGGCGGGTAGGCGCCTCGTTTTGCGCTCAGTGCAACAAAACTTCGCGCAAGTCTGGGCTGCGTCACGTTCATGCGTACATGGTGTAGTGAGCAGCGTTCAGCTGACTATTTGCTGATCGCAGCTGGGCTTCAGGCCGACTCTTTTTCTTTTTGCTTTTGGCGGTTTGATCCTTAACCCCCTGGCATGGAGGTGATGCCGCAACTCCACTATTGTTATTGTTATTGTTCTTGTTCTTGTTCTTGTTATTGTTATTGTTTTTGTTCTGGTTCTTGTTCTTGTTCTTGTTCTTGATACTGTTATTGTTATGGTTCTGGCTATGGTTACTGTTATTGTTATTGCTATTAGTATTGTTGTTAGTATTATTGTTTTTTCTACTACTACTACTACGACGACGACGACGACTACTACTACTACTACTACTACTACTACTACTACTACTAATACTACTACTTATTGCTATTATTATTATTATTATCATTACTTGTGTTGCTATTCTTATTGTTATTGTTATTTTTATTGTTATTGTTATTGTTATTGTTATTGTTATTGTTATTGTTATTGTTATTGTTATTGTTATTGTTATTGTTATTGTTATTGTTATTGTTATGATCTTTATCATTATCATTATCATTATCGTTTTCATCATCATTATCTTTATCATGATCATTCTCCTTTATTCTCATTATCATTATTACTATTTTTATTATTATCATCATTATTATTACTATTATTCTTGTTGTTGTTATTACTGTTATTAATATTCTTATCATTCTTGTCATTGTGAATATTTCTCTTATAATGCTAATTACTAGTATCATCACTATCATTATCATTATTCTTATTGTTATTGTTATTACTATCGTTATGATTGTTATACTTATGACTTAAAAAGTACTATCCCAGCCCCGAACCCAAGCCGGTATTCGGCGGCACTTTTTTGCAGGTCTTCGTCTTCGCGGCCGAGAAGCTGTTCCAGGCTCCCGAGACTTCGAAGCGCTCACAGGGTAAAGGTGTAGGGCCAGGGCCTTGTTATGCCTACTATAGAATAGGGTTTATGAAGGTTTATGTGCTGATCTATATATATATATATATATAATTCTGCGCATATATATATATGTATATATATATATATATAACCCCCCCCCTGTGGTGTGTAGGGGGCAAAACCTCAAGCCTTAACACGAAGAACCCCGAAATCCGAAAAGCTCGAAGAAGCCTCAAGCCCCAACCCCTAGACCCCTAAACCCTCAACCAGCTACTGCAAGGAATGCAGACCTACAACACCTCAAGCCCCTAACCCCAAACCCCAAACCCCAAACCCGAAACCCTAAACCCTAAACTCTAAACCCTAAACCCTAAACCCTAAACCCTAAAACCTACCTAGAGCTGCCAGGCCTCGAGTTCCGAGGGCAAGCCCAACGGAATACTCGGGATGATGCCCGAGGCGACGCAAAAGGCGCCTCTGGGTATTTGGCCCCTAAAACCCTACAACCCTAAAACCCAAAAACCCTAAAACCCAAAAACCCTAAAACCCTAAAACCCTAAAACCCTAAAACCCTAAAACCCTAAAACCCTAAAACCCTAAAACCGTAAAACCCTAAAACCCTAAAACCCTAAAACCCTAAACCCTAAAACCCTGCAACCCCAAAAGGCCCCAAAACCCTCTGAGCTTGGTAGGTATGGTCGAGTACAGGTCTGGGCTGTATTCCTTGATTCAGGGGCTTTTTGGGGTTCTTCCTTTGGGCTTAAGGCTTGGGCGTGTGAGAGCGTTTGGGAGCTACTTGGAGCTTAGGGGCTTCCAGGGTTTAGGATTTAGGCTTTAGAGTCTAGGGAGTAGGGTTTAGGGTTCTTGCGTTGCTTCAGTATTTGTTTACGGCTCTATATCGGAGGTCTCGTGGCCCTCGGTGAAGCCTTGCCGGGCCAGAAGTTGGGGTTTGGGGTATTCTTAAATGTTCAGAGCACCTCCTCAACCCTAAGCCCGAAACGCTAAACCTTAAACCCTAAGCCCTAAACCCTAAACCCTAAACCCTAAGCCCTAAACCCTAAACCCTAAACCCTTAGCTCTTAAACCCTAAACCCTAAACCCTCAACCCTCAACCCTCAACCCTCAACCCTAACGCCTCACCCTGACCCAAGCACGAGGCTGCCGCGGACACCGTCGGCTTGATCAAGGCCCGCTTTAGAAACCTCTTTGCGGCTCTTTGGGCTTTTCAAGGATTTTTTAGGGCTTGGGGATGTTTGTGGTTTTGTGTGGTTTGGGTTTAAGGTTTAGGGTTTAAGGTTTAGGGTTTAGGGTTTAGGGTTTAGGGTTTAGGGTTTAGGGTTTAGGGTTTAGGGTTTACGGTTTAGGGTTTAGGGTTTAGGGTTTAGGGATGAGGGATGAGGGATGAGGGATGTTTATGGTTGAGGGTGTGAAGAGAATCTTTGCCCTGGACTTCCCAGCGAGTTTGGGGATGATTGCCTCGTGGGGCTCGGGTCGAGGGATAGCTGTCGGGTTCTGGGAGATCATAAGAAAGCCATGCAATGTAATGCTTATATTATAGAAGTTCTGGTTTCTGGAGATATAATCCTATTTCCTGATGAATATAATTCTATTCTTATAAGGACTGATATTAATGTTCCGGAGATTCCAAAGATGAATCCAGACAATAGATAATAAATTCCTAAGCCTTTATGATTACAATTTTTAACTAGTGATAGAAAGGATACGAACGGGCCAGTGATTTTATATTAAGTGGAATGGTGGTTTCGTTCGCCCCTTTAATACATTTCATGCGCTCACAAGTTCACTTATAAATGCATTAAAGAAGCTCTCTTCACTTACATAGTATTATTACGTAGAGAATTAAATGAATGCATTTGTAAACGAAATTAGTGCACGAAATGCATGAATTTAATGAACAAAGTGCACGAACACAATAGTTTTTTATTAAAATACGCGCGTCACTGCGTTCCTTGCATTTTAATAATAAATTGGCCAGTTCTCTCTCGTTTTTCCGAGCACCCCCCAAGGTATTGTAATGCAATCACCAGCTAGAGAGCTCACCACTCAGTGTCCAATTCCGGATTCGCCGCCTCCGTCACATGGGGGAAGTTTTCCATGAGGATCCCAATCCTAGCTTCTATCGCTCAGCCCTAAACCTTGGAATAACCTCCCCCATGAATTCGCAAGCTTTTTTCAGGACCCCCGAATGGCTGGCCCATCCTGAACCGACGCATTTCGGAACCTAAGCAAAGAAATGCCCTGAGGTGTCAGTGCCCAAATGACAAGAATCCTGAATTCAAGCCACGAAACCGTTCTGGCTAAATCGTACATTCGACATATTGAAGAACGCTGAGCTCCTAGACCCGAAGGATGCAAGGATGCCCCTTTGTCGGGCTTTCGCTTAAAGTCGGCGACCCAGACTTGTGGCTCCAGCTCGCTTTCCGGCCCTCTCCAAGGCGCCTTGTCGCCTCGCAGCCGCGCAGCCTCGCGATGGCAGACTCCTCCGCCTCGGACGTGGAGCAGCGCTCCGAGCTCCTTGTTGGGGAAACCAGGCGTCCCTCTGGGCGCCTCGTGGCCGGCCTGGGCTTCCTCGGCTTCGCCTTGCTGGCTCTGGGCTTCCTCGCCGGCCGCATGACGAAACCCGAGCAGCCGGCGAGCCTCGGCGGCGTGATCCAGCGCAACGCACAGATCAACCAGGTCGTGGACCACATCTTCAAAGAATTCGACAAAAACGGTGACGGGACCCTTGACATGGATGAAACGAAGGGCCTCGTCCGTGGAATGCAGACGGAGGAAGGTGAAGAAGCAAGCGACGCAGAGATTCATGAATTCCACAAGCAGCTTGACACGGATGGCTCAGGAGGGCTTCACAAGGAGGAGTTGAAACAGCTCATGCTGCAGATGTTTCACCGATGAGCCGCTCAGGAACACTTGCCGCAGTGCTCCGAAACACGCGGGTAAATAAATAAATAACATATACATATATATATATATACATACATGTATTATGGATATATGTATATGTGTATGGGGTTTTCACTCCGTGTGGTCTGTTTGGAATCCTGAATCTGGTTCGCCAGAGCTGGACAGATGTGTGTTTCATGGAGACCGTGGCCTTCTGACATGAAGGGTCTGTACCCTGAATGGTCCATGGTTTAATGGTGTCATGAGATGCCTGAAGCCAATCGGTTTGCTGTGGCGCTCCGGTCCATGTTGGCACCGGTCCGGACGGTTCGGCACGATAAGAGTGGGTGTATGTCGTGGTGAAGGACGTGCGACATGAAGGGCCGTCTGGAGCAACACGCCAGCTGGATGCGCTGGGTTTTTTGAAGTCCCGGCTCCTGACCGCTCGCCCGATGACAAACTCAGTTTCATGTGGACTTGCGCGTGCACGTGGTGCTTCGACTCTTGCAGGGTGTTTGTGGTATGTTTACAAGTGCACGGTGGCATCTTGCCTGGTGCAGCTCTGCTCAAGAGAGGGAGCCATCCCTAAACCCGAAACCCTAAACACTGAGGTCAGCATGCCACCGACAAAGGGGCCCCCAACCCCAAAACCCCCAAAACCCTGCACCCTGACTCCCTGAGCCCTGCACCCTGCAACCCTGAAGCCCTAAAGCCCTACACCCCCACATTCGCCATAGCCCTGGGCTTCCCGATTCCCCCCCCCCCCCCTCCCGACGCCATGCGGGCCGCTGTTCCGTGCCGGGCGGTGGCTCAAGAGCTCCGCCGGCCCTGCTTTGCTCCCGCGGGCGCGCCGGTGAGCCGATTCTGACCTCCCGGGTTCAGGGCGTAGGCTTTAGGGCGCTTGAGGGTTCGAGGGTGGGAGAGTCTATGAACCGGGAGCCCTGGAGCCGTCAACTAAGAATGCCTGGTGCCCAAGACGCCCCCCCCAGGTCTGTGCTCAAACTGCCGAGCGTTTGGCAAGCTTTGTGGAAGTCTCCCGCGGGTCGTCACTCGGAGTTCTGAGAAATGAGTCGCCCCCCAAAAATTTTTTGGGAATCCATCGTTCGGGTTTACGGTTCAGGGTTAAGGGTTTAGGGTTTAGGGGGTTTAGGGGGTTTAGGGGTTTAGGGGGTTTAGGGGGTTTAGGGGGTTTAGGGGGTTTAGGGGGTTTAGGGGGTTTAGGGGGTTTAGGGGGTTTAGGGGGTTAGGGGGTTTAGGGGGGGGGTTTAGGGGTTTAGGTTTTTAGGGGGTTTAGGGGGTTTAGGGGTTTAGGGGGTTTAGGGGGCTTAGGGGGTTTAGGGGGTTTAGGGGGTTTAGGGGGTTTAGGGGGTTTAGGGGGTTTAGGGGGTTTAGGGGGTTTAGGGGGTTTAGGGGGTACGGTTCACCTAAACTCCTAGACCCTAACTCCTGCGGCTCAAGCAATTTGGCCTTCCCAATGAGTCACACTGGACCTCTTAAACCCTTGAATCTTTAACTAGGACCCGGAGTAGGCCCTTATTTCTCCTTTTTAGGGTTGGGGTTCCCTTATAATCCCCTTAAAACCAAAAAGGGCACCCGCTTTATTCGTAGGTTACTCCTGGGTCTAGTTTAACTCCCAACCCCAAACCCCAAACCCCAAACCCCAAATCCCAAACCCCAAACCCTAAACCCTAAACCCTAGACGCTAAACCCTAAACCCTAAACCCTGAACCCAAAACCCTAAACCCTAAACCCTAAACCCCCCATGGTCCTTCCTCTAGGCTGGTGTGCTTGACCGGCGCCGGCTTCTCGACAGAGTCAGGCATCCTCAGCCCCCCGAAACCGTTTCAACCCCTTGGACCCCAAACCCTAAACCCTAGCCCTAAACCCTAAATCCGAAACCCGAAACCCTAAGCTAAACCCTAGCCCTAAGCCCTAGCCCTAAACCCGAAACCCGAAACCCGAAACCCTAAACCCTAAGCCCTTGCAACCCCCATCCCTCGACTGGAAGCCCCTGGAGGCATCCCAGACTACCGGAGCCCCCAGGGCTCCTACTCCAAGGGCCACAAGCCCATGACGCACCAGGAGGGATGCTGAGGGACCCCAAACCCTAAACCCTAAACCCTAAACCCTAAACCCTAAACCCTAAACCCTAAACCCTAAACCCAGAGAGCCCCCCAAGATACCTTAGATTCGAACAGGGATCCTGACAAGGTCTCAGGTAGATTCCTTATTTAAGGGGTAGTGGGCTCTCTGGGAAGGGCCAAAGGGTGAAGGGGGCTAGGGGGTTTGGGGGTTTGGGTTTAGGGTTTAGGGTTTAGGGTTTAGGGTTTAGGGTTTAGGGTTTAGGGTTTAGGGTTTAGATGTGAGAGGGTTGTAGGGGCTTAAAGTTATTTAGGGCTGAAAATCACTGAAGCCTTCTCTCGAAGAGTTGTTCAAGGTCACGAGCGGGCCCGAAGCCCCAAGGGAACATCTTCCTGACACTAAAGGTTGCTAACCCGTTGCCACAAGCCAAACCCAAAACCCCAATGGGGCTTTTGACAAACTAGGGGCACCTCTGTTTGGGGGGTCTTACACTTAGATGGGTGGTTGTATTCTTTTCGGGGGAGGGGGTTCAGCAGGTTTCCTGAGCCCAGCACCTCGAGGCCCTAAACCCTAAACCCTAAACCCCAAACCCCAAACCCCAAACCCTGAACCCTTAACCCTAAACCCTAAACCCTAAACCCTAAACCCCAAACCCCAAACCCCAAACCCCGAAGCCTCGCCAGGAGTTCGTGTCCAGCTCCCTGAACCGCAGCCGTGGCCTGTCGACTACGAGCCCCAATACCCCACTCATAGTATTCCCTTAGGGTTTAGGGTTTAGGGGTTAGGTTTTGGGTTTAGGGTTTAGGGTATAATTGTACGGATTTTGTTTTTAATTCTATGGCCTTTCAACCTTACATCCGGAACCCTTTCTCAGACCCTAAAGGCCCCCACCCCAATTTCCATGGCTTTCCGGCCCCTCTCCCAACCCAAGCCCCAGACCCCGAAAAGCAGCCTCAAAAGCCCCTAGCCTTGAACATCAAACGTCCTGAAAGTATCCCAAGCCCTAAGCCCTTCGAAGCTGCTGCAATTTCCCTCTCCTTGTTCCTTTTTTTTCATACTTGGAGGTGGGGGTATAAGTATAATTACCATACTTACAACCCCGCTTGTAGCTACCCATGAACCTCCAAGTACCCTAAACCCTAAACCCTAAACCCTAAACCCTAAACCCTAAACCCTAAACCCTAAACCCTAAACCCTAAACCCCAAACCCCTGAGGCTACTGGGCGCGCTCCTTGCGGGGCTGGCGCTACTTCGACGGCGCGGCGCCGAACTTCGCCCACCGGGCCCTTGGGGCCCTGGAAGGGGCCGGGCATCCCGAAGACAAGTGTGTTTAGGGTTTAGGGTTTGGGGTTTGGGGTTTGGGGTTTAGGCAAGTTTAGGGTTTGGGGTTTAGGCAAGTTTAGGGTTTAGGGTTTGGGGTTTAGGGTTAGGGGAACCCCAAAGTCCCTGGAGCTTGAAACCCGCCAAAGCTCCCAGTCCCTGAATCCGTGGGTTTGTGGTTCTCATGAGGTTGAGGGGTTGAAGTGTCAGAAGGGTGGATGAGGGAGCACAACTCCCAAGATTGAAGGCGCATGGCAAGCTAGGTGTCGCCCAGCACCTGTGGCACCACCTAGGTATGTCGAGTCGGTGATCACCCAGAATGTGGATGGCTTGCACCAGAGGGGCGGGTCGCGGAAGGTGCTCGACCTCCACGGCCGCAACGACGAGGTGGTGTGCCTGACCTGCTCGCGCTCGCGGCCGCGGGCCGGCTACCAGGAGGACACCTGGCGCCTTGGGCCGAAGCCATCTTTCTCCCGGCCCCAACACCCTCAAAACTCAAAAAGCCCCCAAACTCAGCCCCTGAGGAGCTTGAGGGCGTCAATGCCGAGTGGATGGACACCTTCCTGCCCGCACAGGAGGTCATGGACATCCGTGCGGATGGCGATGCCCACCTGGACATCCGCAGCTTCAAGGGCTTCGTGGTGCCCCCCTGCAGCTGTGGGGGAGTCTGGAAGCCGCGCGTGGTCTTCTTCGGAGGTTCCATCGAGTCGTCCGTGAAGCTCGAGGCGCAGAACCTGCTTCAAAGAGCCGCGGCCCTGCTCGTCATGGGAACCTCTGCGAAGGTCTACAGCGCCTTCTCCCTGATTCGGCTCGCGGCCGACGGGGGCAAGCCGGTGGCCGTGGTAAACATCGGGGAGACGCGCGCGGATGCCCTGATCGCTCCGGAGCTTCGCATGCACCTGCGCTGCTCCGAGGCTCTTGCGGCGCTGTGCCGGCAGCTGGGCCTCCAGGTGTAAAAAAAGGAGCGAGAGGGTGCCCTGCATGAACGGGGTGGCTGCGGCCCCTCTCAAGCCAAAGCTTGGCCCAAGGTACCCGTCGCAGTAGGGCCGAGTGTATCTTGATGCTCAAGCCGGAAGACCCCTCTCAGGCTCTCAAAAAGAGCCTTCAACCCCAAACCCTATAAACCCCAACAACCCCCAAACAACCCCCAAACAACCCCCAAACAACCCCCCCCTGTACTCCCTTACAGCCCCTTGTCCCCCCCCCCGGAGAGGCCGCCGAGCCCCTCTTCCGGCGTCTCAGCAATGCACTCGAGTCTCCGGAGCCCCAGGCGGGGTTGAGGGTTGAGGGTTGAGGTTGAGAGGGGTTGAGGGGTTGAGGGGTTGAGGGTTGAGGGTTGTGGGTTGTGGGTTTAGGGTTGAGGGTTCAGGGTGGAGGGTTGAGGGTTGGGGGTTGGGGGTTGAGGGTTGAGGATTGTGGCTTGAGGGTCGAGGGTTGAGGGTTGAGGGTTGAGGATTGTGGGTTTAGGATTGAGGGTTGGGGCTTGAGGGTTGAGGATTGTGGGTTTAGGGTTGAGGGTGGTTGAGGGTTCAGGGTGCAGGGTTGAGGGTTTTGGCGGCTTCCGGCATTTTCCTGGCTTTTCGGGGGCTCGTCGGCAGGTGTAGGTCTAGGCCTTCTTCTAAGCATGTCACTGGGCCGGGAGTTTGTGAAGAAAGACCGGATGTTGGATTTGCGAGCAGGTTTTCTTGTCAGTCGGCCTGTTTCCCTTCAGGCTGCATGTTTTTTTATCCAAACCCCGAGCCCTGAACCCTAAGCCTAAACCCTGAATCACTGAACGCGGCTCCCTTCTTCATCAGCCCTCTATTCTACGAGCCCGAACCCTGCACCCCAAACCCTGAAACCTAACCCTAACCCCTGAACCCGAGACCCTAAACCCCGAACCTGAAACCCTAAACCCTAAACCCCAAACCCTAAACCCCAAACCCTGAACCCCCTAAACCCTCAACCTGAACCCCCTAAACCCTGAACCCCAAACCCGCAACCCTAAACCCCAAACCCCAAACCCCTCAACCCTGAGCCGGAGAGAAGAAGGTGATCGTCTTCTACCTCAAGGCCGTGAAGCAGCTCAGGGCCCGAATGGCCAACATCGGAGACGCGCTTTGGCTCCAAGGGTTTAGGGTTCAGGGTTCAGGGTTTCGGGTTTAGGGTTCAGGGTTTAGGGTGTAGGGTTTCGAGCTTCGGGTTGTTTGGGTTCCCCGAGACCCTGAACCCTAAGGATTAACGCCTTGCTCTTATATCGCGATGACATCTGCTGAGGCGTGCATTATTCCCCTGGCACTTGGCGGCACCGTCGTGCCGCTCATGCTGGAGAAGACCCAGGGCAAGGAAAGCCACAGCTATCGCCTTACCATCTGCAACGGTGGGCCTGGCGTGCTGTACCATAGGCGAGGGGCCCCTAAACCCCAAACCCCCAAACCCCCAAACCCCAAGCCCTAAACCCAAAACCGGAATAACCCTCAACAGCCACCCCAAACCCGCATCCACAACGTCGCGTCCCGCAGGCAGTCCGCCCGCAGCCCGCCGAAGCTCAAGCATCAGACCTGCCTCTCGGCTGTTGTCGCGCTAAAACCGAAACCTCAAAACCCGAAACCTCAAACCCCAAACCCTGAACCTGAAACCCCTCAACCTGAAAGCCCAAACCTCAAAAGAAGCCCCCCTCCTGCGTAGACCCAACTAGCCCTCAACCCTCAACCCTAAGCACCAAACCCTAAACCCTAAACCCTAAACCCTAAACCCTAAACCCTAAACCCTAAACCCTAAACCCTAAACTCTAAAGCCTAAACCCTAAACCCTAAACCCTAAACCCGAAACTGCACCAGCCGAGGCATGACCTTCGAGGGCATCCCGGCCGAGCGAGCCGAAGATGAAGCCTTCTGGACCACGATGGTGGCTGGGCATGGTTTAGGGTGTAGGGTTTAGGGTTTCGGGTTTAGGGTTTAGGGTTTAGGGTTTAGCGTTTAGGGTTTAGGGTTGTTTGGGTTCAGGGTATAGGGTATAGGGTTTAGGGTTTGCCGTTGAGGGTTTGGGTTTTGGGTTTTGGGTTTGGGGTTTGGGGTTGGGTTTAGGGTTTAGTTTTTGGACTTTTTTTGTTCGTTCCATCATCGAAGCAGGGCATTGCCTTCTGGGGGAGTCACAGGCGACCAAAGGGCAAGGACCCCCCAGCCAGGGGCCCCTGCGCAGCCCAGGCAAAGCGCAGAGGGCCTCAACGGTGGCCATAGGGTTGCCCTGCAGGGCTTGACCTTGAAGGGGCCGGTTGCGGTTGCCACGCGTCAGGGCAGAGCCCCGTCCGAGAGGCTCGAGCACCCATGCGCATGGTGCTCTCGCCAGTTTAGGGTTTGGGTTTGGGGTCTAGGGCTTAGGGTTTCGGGGTTTGTGTTTCGGGTGTTGGGGTTTTAGGGCTTGGACTTAGGGGGGTTTCCGGGATGTCAGGCTCAGGGTTCCTTGAGCCAGTCCTAGAGGTTGAGAAGCACTTGTTCGGATCTGGCCTCAAAGCTCCCTTCCATCAACTGCCGCCTTAGACTGAAAAGTTGGAAAAGTTGCCCTAAACCCTAAACCCTAAACCCTAAACCCTAAACCCTAAACCCTAAACCCTAAACCCTAAACCCTAAACCCTAAACCCTAAACCCTAAACCCTAAACCCTAAACCCTAAACCCTAAACCCTAAACCCTAAACCCGAAGCAGTCGAGGTCACGGCGTGCCTGATCTCAAGCGAGCGGGAGCCGGAGGATCTCCTCTACGACGTCTTCCTGCCCTACTTGATCAACGCGCCGGCCGTGGTGGATGTCCTGTACCCCCAGGCAACGCTGGGTCCTCGTTGAGGAACTCAAAAAATATGTTGCCATGACAGAGGGCCATTTAGAGCAGATTGAGATACAGTCGTGTGCTGCTGGCAGCCAAACTTAAGTTCCCTCAGCAACATGCAGGCGCCAGGGCGAAGATCACTCGAGTTGGTATGGAGACTCTCAACCCTAAACCCCAAAGCCTAAACCCTAAATCCTAAATCCTAAATCCTAAACCCTAAACCCTAAACCTCCTCACCTGAGCTCCTAAAGCCCCAAAAACCCCGAATTTTGAAGCCCCAATCCCGGCAAAAAAAACAACCCAAAAGCCTAAACAAACTCAAAAACAACTCCACAAAACAACTCAAACCCCCCCAACCCCCCCTTTCCCCCCCCCTCCCCACCCAAACAAAAACAAAGAAGAAAGGCGAAGGCCAAGCTCCTCGAGGGGCTCTCCATCCCCGACGCCGACTTTCACTCGGTGCCCCGCGCCTTCGGCTCCTGGCGCTGCCTCACGCTCCCTGGCGCTTCAGGGTTGTTTAGGGTTTAGGGTTTAGGGTTTGGGGTTTGGGGTTTAGGGAGTTTAGGGTTTAGTTTAGGGTTTAGGGTGTTTTTGCCCTGTTTTCCCCCTTACTGGAAGCCCTTCTGACTTCGGGAAGTATGGTCAGTAAGGTGAGGCTGTGGTGGTGGTGATAATAGGGTTTGTAGGGGATACCAAGTCGTCTTGCTAAGTCAAAAGTGCTTCCAAGTAAACCTGCTGGTTCTTAGTGTGTAGGGAATGAAAGAAATTGGGTGCCACCTTCTTCTAAAATTCTTGAGGTTCAAACACACACACACACACACACACACACACACACACACACACACGCACACCCACACCCACACACACACCCACCCACCCACCCACCCACCCACCCACCCACCCACCCACACCCACACCCACACCCACACCCACACCCA